TACAGATATGATGTGCGAGACATTTTGTCTCACAAAAAACAAACAAAATCTTATTAGAAGACCCACATGGAAAAGACATTGGAACTATATATATTCTAACATTTAAAAGAAAAAACAGAGGGGGATAAATCATAATAGGTAAAACTCCGAGGGGTGTATTTATTTTATTATAAACCTAAAATCTAGACCTAGATGATAATTCGCTCTCTCGTTTCCTTTATAAAAGAGTTGATATTTCGTAAAGCCCATGCAAACAGTAAAAGCTAAAGAAACCAAACAGTCTCCAACTCTCTATCCACCTCTGATCATGGAAGGTAACAGTAGCAGCTCGGAGGCAACAACGGAGGTAGCCGGAAGGGAAACCTCCGGGACAGCAGCGCCGTGCAGGTGGAATCCGACGAAAGAACAAATAATAATGCTGGAGAATTTGTATAGGCAAGGGGTGAGAACACCAACGGCCGATCAGATTCAAGAAATCACAAGCAGATTAAGGACATATGGACACATTGAAGGTAAAAATGTCTTCTATTGGTTTCAAAATCACAAGGCAAGGCAAAGGCAGAAGCAAAAACAAGATCATCTCTCTTACTTTCATCAATACCTTCATCATCACCACCACCTGCACCAACCGGCGGCTGTCTTTCCGGTACCCTATCATCCCAATGGTTCGTATTTTCTTCTTATAGTTGATGTTGTAATGCGTGTTTTCGTGTATTTCTAGTTTTCGTATATAATTAAATGTTGGATTTTATAAAGGTTTCCCTTTTCAAGATCGTATCTGCTGCAGCCATAGTACTGGTATCAAAGTAGAAACATAGTTGGCATTTACGAATCTTGAATTTATTCTAAGCATTTGTTAATATCTTTATACGATAAAATTAATCTACATTTAATATACATGTTTTCTTTTATAATCCTTGAAATCAACTAAAATATTTTTTAGTTTATTTAAACTATATAAATGTTAATAAAAACTGTAAAGTATTAAAGTGTTAAAAGAAAGCTTTACCTAGATTATAATTATCTATTCTAAAGTTCAGACTTATATATACTAAGATTATAAATACTAAATATATGCTATCCTACAACATTGATTCTTTGGTTTCTATCTATAATACATGATACACATACAAGTTAATGAATTAAAACTAAAATTATTGCATTCAATTAAAATTTAGTAATACCATTAGTTAAGTATACATTAATTAAGTATACGTATCTACTTTCAAGGAACAGTTTTATATGATATAAAAAAAAAAAAAAAAAAAAAAAAAAAAAAAAAAAAACTAAATGGAAAAAAATGCAAGATACTTTCACTATATATTTTTAATGTTTAAACTCTTTTTACAAAAAGATATTATTGGAAATTTGGTCTAAACTTTGGGTTTATCACAACTGGAAGACCTTTCCAAAAGTATATTTTCCAAAAATAAGTGAAACCTTATTTTCTCTTTACCAATAAATGCATCATAATTTTCTAACTATCTGATATCACAAACTATTTTAATTTATATTCTTTTATTTAAAATGTAACTAGCAACTTGCTAGTTCGTTATGCTATTTATTTTGCTGTTATTCAATATATATATATATATATATATATATATATATATATATTATATATATATATATATATATATATATATATATATATATATATATATATATATGCAGCTTGTCATTTTTATTGAAATAAATTTATCATTTCCAATGGTTCAAATTTACAAAACTTAAAATTTGTTCTTGAACTGATAATTTATCTCAATAAATATTACTAAAAATATAATTTATAAATCAGTAGAATTTATATAATGATAAAAAATATTGTACATTACCATTATCCTGAAATAAAACATAATTTATTTTTTCTTAAAAAAATCATTTGAAAAATTGGTAGTCAAAAGGAACAGTAGGCAGTTTTCATGCAACAAAGTAGTACTTGTAAAACATTAAGTGTGTGTCTGACTGTCTCAATTCATCTGTTAGTTTTGTACTGTAAATGTAATCCAAAGGTTTCTGATTTTTGTTTGTTTATGGGCTTTAATTTGCTCATAAGCTTTGTCAATCTTTGTCAAATAATTTCCACAATTCCTCTGACATTTCTTTGTGTTGTTTTCCCAAGACTGTACTTCACAATTATTTGAGTGTACCTCCACATCTACCCTTATCATATTAAAAATAATGTAAGGTATATATTTTCGACCACAATTCCTAAGGTTTGAGTGTTTGATGTAGCTAGATTTGTATCAAAATCGTTTATGCTTATATAATATATGTTGCGTAAATGTGTATTGGTAGAAATGATAGAAAGATGGTTAAATGTGTCACATGTTGTATTATTGACCATTGAATTTGTCGTCTGGTTGCAAATTGGTAGAGTTTTATCTTGTTTACTGACGGTTTTTGGTACTAATATCGAGTAAGAAAACATATGTAGATTTGATTTATATAAAAGAAATCACCATCTATAGTACTGTTTCTTTCAGAACCATGCATCAGTCTTTTCTTTTGATTGACTTTTTATTATATAAACTATCCTTTTATTTTAATAATTTTTATTTGAATTGTTTCTACAGTTGTATATGGGCAATGCTATATCCCACAAAGTGATCACCTAGGGTTCTATCCGAAGGTGCTAATACCAAGTGCCACCACCACCATTAAGAGAAGGTCATCTCGGGCTGTCAAACCTAAACTGTCTTCCGGTGCTGGAACCCTTGTCGGAGGTAATAATCCGATCAAACCAAAGATGGTCAACGACAACAACATTCAACAAGAAACTTTGGATCTTTTCCCACTTCAACCTACTGGGATTTTGCAACACAGGGAAGCACCTACAAGCAATGTTAATCATCATTCTATGACTGCTTGTACATCAAGCTTCTCCGATCGTACGCAAGACCAACGCTTTTTTGACTTTTTCTCTTGTTAATGGTATTGACCTAATAGGCAAATGGTTAATTATGGTTAAACCCTATTCTTCTGTAACATGCAAGAAAGTGTTGTGATTAATTTGCGTTGGTTTTGTTTTTATGTGTATGGGAAGTTGGCAAAAATACCGTATTTTAAGTGGGTTTTTAATACATGTGTTTTTCTATCTTAGATCTTATTGTATTGATTACTTTTAAAAAGTTGATCAAACTCTTATCTTTTGTTTTTATTTTCGGTATGCTTTTGTTTGCAAATGCTATTATATTATGTAATTATGTATAAGAAAATTTAAATATACTTTTATTTTCATTTTCTAGTTTTTCTTTTTACCTATAATATCACTACTAGAAAAAAGGGTGTTTTCCTACGGATAATAGCTACGGAAAATTTCCGTAGCTAATTAGCTACAGAATTTGACGCCCTAATTTAGTAACGGAATAGCTACAGAATAGCTACGGCATAACTACGGATTTAATTCCGTAGGTATTCCATAGCTAATTAGCTACGGGATAGCTACGACATCACTACGGATGCTACTCCGTAGCCATTCTGTAGCTAATTAGCTTCGGAATAGCTACGGCATAGTTACGGATGTTAACCCGTAGCTATTCCGTAGCTACTTAGCTACAAAATGGCTACGAAATAGCTACGGATATAATATTAAACCATTAAATGAATAAAGGATCTCGAAGGTGCAAACGACTGTATCAACACTATTAATGACTATAAGTTGTTGAAAATAAAAATAATCGTGTATAATAGAGGTGGGATAAAAACGAAGAGAAAAAAACGATGTTTAATGCCCGGAAAATCAAAAATAATAAAATCCGTAGCAACTCCGTAGCTAATTAGCTACGGATTAGCTACGGATTTTTTTTATTTTCTATTTTTCGGGCACCAAACGTCGTTTTTTTCGCTTCGTTTTTTTTTACACTTCTACTATACATCATTATCTATACTTTCACCAACTTATAGATATTAATAGCATTCATAAAGTCGTGTGGACCTTCGTGATCAAGTATTCGTTTCATAGTTTTAACAATGTAATTACTATACTTTTCACCAAATTGTGATGAATTTATTTTTGTATATGTATATTTACATACATGAAAGAGTTGTGGTATATGTGTACGTGTATGTGTGTGTGTATACGTGTTTGTGCGTATTTATATGTGAACGTAGATCATAAGCGTGTTAAACCATTAAACGAGTAATGGATCTCATATGTGCACACAACTTTATGAATGATATTAATAGCTATAAGTTGGTGAAAATAGGGATAATCATGTATAATAGAGGTGTGAAAAAAACGAAGCGGAAAAAACAACGTTTGGTGCCCGAAAAACTAAAAATAAGAATTATCCGTAGCTAGTCTGTAGCTAATTCGCTACGGATTAGCTATGGATAATTCTTATTTTCAGTTTTTCGGGCACCAAACGTCGTTTTTTCCGCTTCGTTTTTTTCACACCTCTATTATACGTGATTATATCTAGTTTCACCAACTTTTAGCTATTAATATCATTCATAAAGTATTGCGCACCTTCGGGATCAAGTACTCGTTTAATAAGTACTCGTTTAACGGTTTAACAATATAATGACTATATTTTTCACCAACTTGTGATGGATTTATGTTTGTAGACATGAATGAGTTGTGGTATATATGTATGTGTATATGTGTATGTATACGTTTTTGTGAGTATTTATATGTGAACGTAGATGATAAGCATTAGAGTTTAAAACCATTAAACGTGTAATGGATCCCGTATGGGCACACGACTTTATGAATGACATTAATAGCTAAAAGTTTTAGAAAATATAGATAATCATGTATAATAGAGGTGTGAAAAAAACGAAGCGGAAAAAACGACTTTTGGTGCCCGAAATGTCGAAAATAAGAATTATCCGTAGCTAATTAGCTACGGACTAACTACGGAATTCTAACGGAAATAATAATAATAATAATAATAATAATAATAATAATAATAATAATAATAATAATAATAACAGAAATAATAATAATAATAATAATAATAATAATAATAATAAGAATAATAAGAATAATAAGAATAAGAAGATGTTTAAATAGAATAGTCAAGCATGTTAGTATGGATGTGGCATGCCCGGCTGATTGGTAAGTTTGTGGTATTGTACGTAGGCAACCCGAGTTCGAATCCCACCCACGTTTTTTTTTTTGCACGCCGTAGCTAATCGGTAGCTAAACCGTCACTAAACGTGTCCGAACCTGTGCCGTAGCAGATTCCGAACCTGTGCCGTAGCAAATCGGTAGCTATTTTTTTTAATTAAAATCCATTTTATTTCCTTGTTATATTCATCCCACGAAAATAATAATAATAATAATAATAATAATAATAATAATAATAATAATAATAATAACTAGATTATAACCCGCGTTAAACGCGAGGAACATACAAAAAAGTATAAATCGTTGAATGCCATATATGTGGACAACTTTTTATATTAAAAAGAATTGGATGCAGTAATGGGTTAAAATGAATTTTTTCAATTCTTCAATACATATATTAAACAAACTTAATATCATAAAACAAAATAAGAGATGAGTTGACGATTAAAAAATTTACCCTACATTTGATATCTTTTCCATCAACCACTAATTAGCATGGTGAATAACATCTTTAACATGATGGTCAATCAATACAAAAGAAGCAGACTCATATTCATATTGAACACGAATTACGACCATCGCCGTAAAATTATAAAATGACACTTTAATGGACAATGAAATAAAATTGGAAACATTCAAATATAAATTAATGGCACAAGAACTTTACAAACATAAAATTATGAACTTACTTGCTATAAACTTCAAAAACTCCACCACAACAGTCACAAGTAAATGGTTCAACATTAGTATCACCATCATTCTTACTTACTTTTTTTAAATAGTCACGACAATAAAAAGAATACCAACATTCGTCAAAATTAAAACTGATGACAGTAACAATGATGGACAAACCAATTTCATATTTCATAAATAAATAAATAATATATAAAAAAAATTCATACATATATTCATTATCATACTATTTTGAATTCTTTGATTTCAAATTCTATAATTATGAAAGGTAAATACAAATTACTTGATTTAAAAAAGGAATGAACCATATTTATGTTTTGACAATTATTTTAACATTTATTTCACTTCAATACATCCCAATTAAAAATTTCAATCACTATTAATAAGTTTTCAACTTCCCAAACGTAGTCAACTTAATTTAGTTAATATTAATTTTATTTTATTTTATTATGGCATCATCAAAATGATTCAATGATTAAAATTAATTAAGCAAACAAAATTAATGGTCCTGATTGTTGAATGTGATGTCATCAAGTTTCTCTTTTAATATATATAGACACTAAACCCTTCGAGAAGGTACTCTATTTTTACTTTTTTTTTTCATTCAATCCAAACATATAATCCAATTCAATTAACACAGAACTAATTAAACTGAATTTTACTTCATCTAATCCAAACATAGAATCCAATCCAAACACACACAAGCACACAATCACAAACACACACACATACAGAGAGAGAGAAGGAGAGAGAGTGTGTGAGAATAGAAAATCCGTTTATCAAAAACTCACTAATAAGCCACTGATACATATATTGAACACATAAATTATAATCAAATGTAAGAAATTAATCAATAAATCAAAAAAAATGTTAACCTTATGAAGCTGGTATTCGAACGTGATGCTGCAAAGTCCTGATTTCATGAAATTGTGATAACAACTAAATGAGATTATACTTATACATAATTTTGAACAACGATTTTGGAAAGGATATGAACAAATTAATATTATGATTCATATCATACTATTTTGAATTCTTTGATTTCAAATTCTATAATTATGAAAGATATATACAAATTACTTGATTTTAAAAAGGAAGGAACCATATTTATGTTTTGATAAATATGTTGACATTTATTTCACTTCAATACATTCCAATTAAAAATTTCAGTCACCATTAATAAGTTTTCAACTTTTCATAAAGTAGTCAGATTATTTTAGTTAATATTAATTTAATTTTAATTTTATGATGACATCATCAAAATGATCCAATTATTGAAATTAATCAATGAAACACAATGAATGGTCCTGATTGTTGAAGGTGATGTCACCAGGTTTCTCTTTTAATATATATTAGATTATAACATGCGTTAAACACGAGGGAACACATGAAAAAAGTATAACTCGTTGAAGAACATATTTGTAGACAAATTTTTATGTTAAAAAGAATTGGATGCATTAATGGGTTAAAATGAATTTATTCAATTCTTTAATACATATATTAAAAAAATTAATATCATAAAACAAAATAAGAGATGAGTTGACGATTAAAAAAATTAACGCTACCTTTGATATTTTTTCCATCAGCCACTTATTACCCTGGTGAATAACATTTTTAACATGACGATCAAACAATACAAAAGAAGCAGACTCAGTTTCATATTGAACACGAATTACGACTCCTACCCTAAAAATTATAAATTGACACTTTAATGGACAATGAAATAAAATTGGAAACATTCGAATATAGATTAATGACACAAGAATTTTACAAATGTAAAATTATGAACTTACTTGCTGTAAACATCAGAAACTCCACCACAACCATCACAATTAAATGGTTCAGCATTGGTTTCATCATCATTCTTACTTAATTTTTTTGAACAGTCACAACAATAAAAAGAATACCAGTCTTCATTTAAATCAAAACCGATGATAGTAGCAATGATGGACAAACTAATTTCCTATTTTATAAAAAAATATATAAAAATATATAAAAAAATCATATATATTCATTGTGTTATGCGCTGTAAATTTATAAAATTAATGGAAAAATATTAATACTGTTAAGTATACCTTATTGTAATCTGGAATATCATCAATGTTCTTGATTGGAAAATGGAGGTAGTAATCTTCTACCTTAGCCACAACAGTATTAGTGTTAAGTTGT